GTTTCCAGAGAGCCTCCGGATCCCAGAGAGGCCATTTTCGTCCTCCCAGAGGCTCGGGGAAAACTTCTGGAGCCCAGGGAGGACAAAAACGCTCCCCTCCACTGCCGCTATGGTGCAGGAGGCTGACTAGGCCATGCCCACCATGGCCATGCCCACCCAGCAACCAGGAAGAAAACCCGTTGCTAAAATTTTTGAAGCCCAGCCCTAACAAAGCCAATATGACACACTACAGACCACAATGGAACCCCAAATTTAAATGGCTAAGCAAGAGAGTTTCATCCATTTTGCAATGTTTCTTGCCACAGTTGTTATGTGAACCACTAAAGTTGTTAAGTCGATTAATCGTTCAGTTGTTATGCAAAGCTGGCTTCTCCCCATTGATTTGGCTTGTCAGAAGCTGGCTAGGCAGGTTGCAAATGCTGATTGCATGCCTTTGGGACAGTGAAACCGTCATAAATGAGTCAGCTGCCAAATAACTCAGTTTTGATCACATGACCATAGAGATGCTGCAACAGTTGTGTGAAAAATGTTCATAAATCACCTTTTTTTTCAGTTCCGTTGTAACTTTGAACGGTCAACTAAACGAATGGTGGTAAGTCAAGGACTACTTATAATTTGAAATTCTCCTGGGTATATAAGCTATTGCAATTCCCTTTTGTAAAGGATAGATGAAGTAACTGGGGTTTTATTACAAGATCTAATGAACCTAATTCTTCATCAGTTCCTAGAGTAGTTGAAGTACATACATCTTTGTTGTGATTGGAAGGAACGGTCCTGTTAGGAATTTTGAATCTGATGACTGTTAGATCGTGGATTGACGTCAGAACCAGGAAACGTCAATCTGAAGGGCAAGCCAGTTAATTAGCACGTTGCCTTAATGGGTATAAAAGGACACAGCTGAGCTGGTGCCTTTTGCCAGAAACAAAATGTCTATTTTGAATGAGGACGTTACTGCAAAGAGATCTCTGTTTGTTTGAATTTTGAAGGGGAGTCCTAACAGTTGCTGCCAGCCGGTTATCTTGTTATTTCCTACAGTTTGATTTGTTTGTGTAACGGCTGCTTTGTGTTTGTTCGTTTGAATTTCCAAGAGGAGACATAACGCATCTTTAAGTTGCCAATTTTAAGAAACATTGTTTTAGACTGAAAAAACAAACAGTAAAAGCCCAAGGAATCATTGCCAAGGAAACTGCATCCATTTATGTCAGCATGATGTCACCACCATGAAGTCTTCTTCACATATGCATATACATATATATAACACTGCTGGATTCGTGTTACAGACCATTAAAGAATTCAAATTTCGAGGTGTACGAGTTTCCGACGTTTTACAATTTGTTTTTGTTTTTTTTTAATTTATAACGGTAACCATGGGCCAATGTTTAACAATTTCTTGTTCAAAACTTGATAGGGCTAGCAGGTACTGAATAAAATTACTTGCCATGACAGATTCGTTCCCCATGACTACATTTCTTGTCTCTTCCTTGGCAACTAATTGGTCATGCTATCAAAATGAACCCAGAAGTGGAATGAATACTTCTGTCAACTCTAATAATCCCTGCATGGCCTTATACAAACGGTCTTCTTTAACTACAACCGTTATGCTGCTATAGGGCATTGCATGCCAATGCTACTAGATGCAGATCGTTTCCCACCCCCGCCGCCGCCATCACTCTGCCGAATTCCTAATTCCCACAGCACTGTCCCATTTCTTATCTTTCCTATTATTTTCTTCTGCTAGTTTCTTATGATGTATCTATTGTTGCATTTTATGATCTATGACCTGTTGTTTATATGTACATTGTGAGCTTATGAACCAGAGAAAAATTCTTTGCATGTCCAATCCCACTTGCCAATAAAGAATTATCTTCTCTTCTCTATCCTTTTCTCTATCCTACTCATCTCTTCTCCCCTACCCCCTCCCTATTCTATTCCATTCCATTCCTCTACTCTTATTCTATTCCACTTTTTCTACTCTATTCTAATTTTAATTCTAATTCAACTCTAATACTAATTCTATTCTGCAGTAAAAAAATGCTAAGTAAAACATTTGTTTTACCATTCTCCATAAAGAGAAATTTTACACAATATTATGCCAAAGAATTAATTTTATTGGATTGGGAGGGGAAAAGGTCAGGAGTCTGAAAAGTATACAATTTTTTTAAAAAAAAACCATCTCAAAATAATATCAAATAAATACAGAAAGCATTTCTTCTATTTACACAGAAATAACGAGTTGGATTTAGAGGTGATCATACAGACTTCATAAGACAGTGGGATTTAGGACAGTCATGCTAAACTAAGTCCCACTGACTTCATTAACACACTGCAAAAAAAGAACTGAGTCCGATTCAGATGAATATAATCCACAAAGAACAGGATCTAAACTGACTGACTGTCCAACCTTAAATGCAGGGGTGGGATTCAAATTTCTTAACACTGGTTCTGTAGGCATGGCCTAAGTTGTGGGTGTGGCTTACTGGTCATGTGACTGGCTAGGAGTGGCTTGGTGGTCCCATGACTGGGTGGGTCAAAAGATAGAAATTCACTTTAACAATGCTCTTGGTGTGGGGTTGGACTAGATGACCCCTGAGGTCCCTTCCAGCCCTGGATTTCTGTTCTGCTTCAAAGCAACCCCTGAAGCTGTGTCTAGTGGCAGAGTTTGTGGTCCTTCCTTTCTCTCCTTTTTCTTTCCATCTCTCCCTCCCTCCATCCATTGTCCGTCCATCCATATCTCATTCACATTCCTTTCCCTTTCCTCTTGCTCCCTTTCCTCCCTTTCTTTTTTCTCCCATCCCTCCTTCTTTCTTTTTCATCCTAGAAAGACAGAAAGAAAAGAAAAGAAAGAAAGAAAGAAAGAAAAAGAAAGAAAGAAAGAAAGAAAGAAAGAAAGAAAGAAAGAAAGAAAGAAAGAATAAATCTCTATAGTATTCATAGTATATTTTCAGTTGGAACCTCTTTCTACTTAAACCAGGGGTCCCCAAAGTTGCCTTTAAGACTTGTGGACTTCAACTCCCAGAATTCTCCAGTCAGCTATGATGGCTGGAGAATTCTGGGAGTTGAAGTAGTCTTAAAGTCGCCAAGTTTGAAGACCTCTGACTTAAACCTTAGTACAACACCCAGATATTTAATGCCATTAAACATCTTGGATTAATCTTGAAACTTTTTGCATACTTGTACTTATATAGAAAGAATTTTATTTTAACACAGTACGGCTTCAATTCCAAAGCTACTTTTTATGAAAACCAAGTCAAGAAAAGGAGATTGGAAACAAACCAAAGCTTAACCTTCTCACTCTTTCTAACCCTTTCTAAATGGCAAGTAGAAGTGAGTCTTTCTACTTGCCATTTTATTACCAAGAATTTACCACCATCTTCAAATTAAAGAGTTGCCTTCCAATAACAAAAAACACAAGTTTGCAAACTGCCTGAATATTAACACAGCGCATAATTTTGTTTGTTAAACGAACTATAAAGTGGAAGAGGGAAAATATTTGTGATAAATATTTACTCTGTTTTTTTGCTTGTCAAACTTAAAAGGTCATTGGACACTCCATAAAGGTTGTGACAGCAATAGAAATAATGAAGCAGCAGCTAGGCAAACTGCTGAATAGTCTGAATTATGCTTGGGAAATTATGTAATGTATGCTCTGAAACTGAGCAAATGAATGGGACCTAAAGGTAAGCTGTTCTCTACAAAATCCATTCTGAACTTACCACGGTAGGCCTGGCATGAAAAAACAGAGCAACTTACTAGTTTTGAAGAGGACATGGAAGAAAGAAGGTTGGCTGCAACAGTTTTAGGAGACTGCAGTTTTGATTACCCAGAATATTCCCAAGGCAGTAATCAATACTATGTTCTTTTGGCTAAACACTGAATCCAGGCATAGTGTAAGGCTGGATGCTCCCAGGAGGCTGAAGGAAGACCTCCCAGGCCCAAAACGGGGCTTAGCAAGCCTCCCTGGAGCCTCTTGGGAGCAAAAACAGGGGAGGGGGAGTGATGCTGAACTCCCCCCAACTCCCCGTATTTTCTCCCAGGAGGCTACCCTATACTTACCTGGTAGCCTGACAAGCCTCTTGGGGACTTCTGGGAGGGGCTGGGCAGATTTCTAATGAGGGCCATTCCCCAACAGCTGCCAAGCAAACAGAGAAAAGCAGGATTCAACCTATACAAGTCTCTCCACGTGTTCCTTGGGGGAAGGCAAGAGGTAGGAGAAAGGGACTGGCTGTGGCAGCAAAAGGCAAGTTGGGGGGGGGGGGGGGGGGCGACCAGGTCTTCAGAGCTTCACTCACCCAGGAAGATCAGAAAAGGCATAGCAGTAAAGGGCCATAGCAGGCAGTAATGGCTGGCCTGGCAGGCAAAAGCAGGCTGCAGGCATGTCACGCATGCACACCATGTTGCACATGTGCAATAGGGACTGACTGGGCAGAGAGCGGAGAAGTGGGCAGAGAGTGGCGGGGCCAACCAGAGGGCCATTTTACCGGTTCTCCGAACTACTTCTATAGAACCGGACAGAACCGGTAGAATCCCACCCCTGCTTAAATGCGATCAGTGTGAACCTGCTTTCATCTGGGCAGAGCACAGGGCAACAGTCTCAAATTTGCCAATCTTGGTGTTCTCTGGCAAATGCCAAACGTCCTGCACGGTGTTGGGCTGTAAGCACAACCCCCACCTGTGGACATCGGGCCCTCATACCATCTTCATGAAGTCTGTTTCTGACCGTTTGAGCAGCCACATGCACATTTGTGGCCCGCTGGAAGCCATTTGGCAGGGCTCTGGCAGTGCTCATCCTGTCCCTCCTTGTACAAAGGTGGAGGCAGCGGTTCTGATGCTGGGGTGTTGCCCTCCTACGGCCTCCTCGTCTCCTGATGTACTGGCGTATCTCCTGGTAGTGCCTCCATGCTCTGGACACTATGCTGACAGACACAGCAAGCCTTCTTGCCACAGCTCGCATTGATGTACTATCCTGGATGAGCTGCACTACCTAAGCCACTTGTGTGGGTTGTAGACTCCGTCTCATGCTACCACTAGAGTGAAAGCACCACCAGCATTCAAAAGTGACTAAACCATCAGCCAGAAAGCATAGGAACTGAGAAGTGGTCTGTTGTCACCACCTGCAGAACCACTCCTTTACTGGGGATGTCTTACTAACTGCCTATTCTTTCCACCTGTTGTCTATTCCATTTGCACAACAGTATGTGAAATTGATTGTCAATCAGTGTCGCTACCTAAGTGGATGGTTTTATTTCACAGAAATGTGATTGACTTGGAGTTACATTGTGTTCTTTAAGTGTTCCCTTTATTATTTTTAGCAGCGTGTTTCTACAAATCAGTCCGACCTCTCTAAATTACTGAAAACGGTACGAGGAGAAAGAGCTGACGTAGCCTAAAAATCTGGGCATCCCTGCCCTTTCTCTCTTCTCATTCACTTTGTGCGTGGTAGGCAATGGTCGCAGCGGCCTGGTTTTGGGATCTTTGCACTCTGCCGTTCACCACAAGAAGTAGAGGAGTATCTACGCGGAGGCTAGAAAAAGTAAAACTCTGAAAAGCAGGAAGAAAAAAAATGAATGATAGTGAAAAAATTTAGGTAATGTGAGATTTTTTTTAAAAAAACCATCAGTGTAAGTATCATACTTATTTGTTACATTTATTTGTTGCCTATCTCTCTACTCTAGAAAGCTTAAGTAATAAAAGGTAGAAAAACAAGAAAGCTTGTAAACAGAACTACAAGTACTCCTCAACTTACGACCAAAATTCAACCCAACATTTCCATAGATAAAAATATGATCATCATCATTATCTCTTTTTAATGACCCCATAATCCCTTGCAGGGTGGAGTGTGGGCAACTGAATGGAGCAGAGTGTTTACTGGCTGGATGCCCTTCCTGTTGCCAATGCAGAATTTTATTCAGCAGATAAATTCTCATTGTGCCCCAAGAAAAATATCTGCCTCTACCTAGGATCGAACTCACAGCCTCCTGATTGTAAGGCGAGAGCTTCACCTCTAAGCCACCACACCACTCTCGGGTAAATATAAGATAAAGATAAAATAACCTTTATTGTCATTTTTTACCTTGGGCACATTGGCACACATCAAAAATATAAACTTTCTTTCAAAAGTTTATACATACGTACACATATAAACATGCTGTATACAAACATATTATATATGTAGTGTCTCTCTGTTGAGCCAGCCTACTCGCATTTTACAATTTTTCTTGCACAGTGAATCATTGCAGTTGTTAAATTAGTAATCCAGTTGTTAAGTGACTCTGACTTTGCTTGCTTAGATCTAGCAATATCTCAGGGGTTGCCACAAAGAAGAAAGGGTCAACTTATTCTCCAAAGCACCTGAAGGCAGGACAAGAAGAAATGGATGGAAACTAATCAAGGAGAGAAGCAACCTAGAACTAAGGAAGAATTTCCTGACAGTCAGAACAATTAATAATGGAAGAATTTGCCTCCAGAAGTTGTGAATGCTCCAACACTGGAACTTGGACCAGAAGACCTCCAATGTCCTTTCCAACTCTATTATTTTGTACCAATAAAGGAGAATATTTGTAGCTCAAGGTTGAAATGAGGGATCCTTAGTGCTCTGAGCTTGCTTGTTTTCTTGCAGACGTTTCATTACCCTAACTAGATAACATCATCAGTGCTCAATAGCGCTGATGATTTTACTAGTTAGGGTAATGAACCATTTGCAAGAAAACAAGCAAGCTCAGAGAGCACCAAGGACCCCTCTCTGTTATTCTGTTATGTTATTCTGTGAGAAGATTGCAGAAGGTGATCACATGACCCCAGGACATCGCAGCCTTGTATGAATCAATTGCCAAGACTTTGAATTTTGATCACGTGATTGTGGGAATGCTGCAACGGTTGTAAGTTTGAAAAACAGTTATAAGTCATTTTTTTCAGTGCCGTTGTAACTTTGGACGGCTATTAAATGAACTGTTGTAAATCGAATTTACTAGTTATAAACAATAAAGCAAACAATGACAAGGGAACAATCCTAGTTGGCTTACAAAGATAATACTTCCCCTTGAAACATTTTTCTCCCCAAGTAACAGACAAGAGAATCATCAGAAAAACTTACTGATACAAAGTGATGAAGAAAATGAAAGCTCACGTACCTTGGTCTTTCTGTCTCCATTTTCAAGTGAATATTTCTAATACTTTTAGATTGAAATACAAGTATTCCTCAAACTTACAACCCTTCATTTAGTGACTATTCAAAGTTACAATGGCACTGGGGGAAAAAATGACTAGTGACCAGTCCTTGCATTTAGAATCTTTACAACATCCCCCCATGGTCACGTGATCAAAATTCAGGTGCTTTGGCAGCCAGTGTGCATTTTTAGTACAGCTGCAAGATCCCAGGATCATGTGCTCACCATTTGCAATCTCCCCAGCTAGCTTCCGACAAGTAAAGTCAATGGAGCAACCTGGATTCACTAAACAGATATATGATTCACTTAACTGTAGTTATTCATTTAATGACTATGGTACAAAAAAACCTGTCGTAAAATCAGGCACAGCTCATATAACAACTGCCTGGCTTAGCATCAGAAATTCTGGCCCTAATTGTCGGCATAAATTGAGGACAGTCTGTAATTCCATGTTGCCCATTGTAAGTTTTGGATTATTTGTGGAAGGCTCCGATTAAGTTTGAACATTATTCCCAGCATGACATAGAACAGACAAAAGGTGAATTGGGAATCGACTCACTTTGTTCTGGTGTTGGATGTGATGGTGTCGAAGATGAGGTTCAGGGATGGCCACCGAGTCCCCAATTAGGACACCCCAGCTTTGGACCATGTTGTAAACAGTGACAGCAAAACAAGGGCCTTCGATAGAGTCCACCAATCCAAAGGTGCTGTTGGAGAGCAGAAAGTGAAAAAATTGAAATAAATTAATTATTGTGCATTTTAAGTCAGATGTATTCAATACAGAACTAATATGGGGTGTATGCTGTGCATTCAAAAGGTTACTGAGTCATAAATCTGAAGTTAATTGTCTATTTTATGCATAAAGTCAATCAGTGGGTTCCAGTGAGCAATAAACATAGATACTGCCTTTTCTCTGATCAAAATTGTGACCAACCTAGACCAAACCAAGTCCAAAAACTCTAGGGAATTTCTAAAGCCTGGCACTCTGACAAATTAGCCATCAATAAAAGTGTAGACATAAACAATATCCAGAAGAGACAATCAAAAAGCCAAAAAGAAAGAACCAAAAAACCAAAACACCTCTCGATCAGCAATCAACATCCAGATGAGCATTAAATTAATGCCAATATTAACTTCAGACCAACAATCAAGGAGTAAACAATTCCCCGATCAAGGAACTGCCAAACCAGCTAACAATAAATCAAAAGAATTTCTAAGACCAGTCCACTGGCAAACCATTAGAATATAAACTGAGAGTAAACCCCACTCCTTATTATTACTGATGTTACTTTATATAGGTAATGAAACATCTGCAAGAAAACAACTAAGGACCCCTCATAGAAATCAATTTAGCCATCTCAGTAAGATCTATCATCTTCACCAACCATCCTTCCATTGAGGATAGTCCAAATCTTTCTATTTTTGTACTATACACAAATATATTATGCAATAATCTTGCTACAGTTGTCATACAGAAAAATAAAACCCCACAACATTTTTTGCAACTGTCTGCTCATCAATCCCAAAAGAAAAAACAACAATTCTGGGCTCAACTTGTATATTAATCTTTAAAATATTCTGAATTGCTAGAAGCTGTGGCTGCCATCTTCAGAAGGAAAGTGGTCTTTGTCTAGGGTCTGTGTAACATCGCCTCCTTTAGATGCCAGCCATGATTCCTAGTGAGCAATTATGGCAACTTTATGACCTGTGGACTTCAACTCCCAGAATTCTTGAGCCATCATGACTGGCTCGGGAATTCCGGGAGTTAGAAGTCCACAGGTCAATGTTGGCTCAGGAATTCTGGGAGTTGAAGTCCACATATTGTAAAGTGGCCACAGTTGCTCATTTTTGCTCTAGACCAGGCCTGTGGATCAGATGCATCACACACTGGCCATGCCTACATGTGGTTTAGCTAAGGGGGAAGTTCAAATACGTTACGTGATGATGCCATGACGATGCGAGCTTTGATACCCCTGCTCTAGACCAAGGCCATTAAACCCCAAAGTTCAACCCTGCCCAATAAACACAGGCTGTGAAAGCCAACACCAGACACTGATGGTATCAAGGCAAACAAGGTTCAGAACACAATTCTATACTCACAAAGGCACTTTTTCCTCAGTAGTCAGGCTGAACAACACCTTCCCCAAGATCACAGTACCCGTGTTAACACCAGGCTGCAAGGCACTGAGGGATCGTCTCTGTAGTTCTATCTTCTGACCTGAAGGCCCTTGATAATGTCCGTCACCACACGGGCCCAGGTGGGAGCTTCGCAGACTTCCCAACATGTTTTGCAGCTTCTTGCCTTTCACCTTGCCCTAGAAGAGGAAAGAAGCAGAAACAAGACTTGTTGGCAGATGTGACATTACCTAATATGGACAGAGGACCAAAAAGAGCCCCAAGTCTTTCAACCTTAATACCTTGTTTTCCAGGAATCCATTAAGTCTCTCAAGAAAATCCATGAGTTGCTGCTCCCGTAGTTGAGGTTCCAGCCAAGCTGGGTCAAGAGCTGCGGCCCGTGAAAAACCCTCCAGGGCTTCCATGTAGTTTTCTTCATACTTAAAAAGCTGCACACAAACCATGTAAAAAACAATGGATGATAATTTGGAGTGAAAGTGAAGCCTGTCTCTAGGATCCAAAAACTCAGCATCCTAATCCCAAAGGTGCTTTTTCAGGAGGCAATTGAGCCTTGTCTTGTTTTTTTTTTTCTTTCAGGATGCAAATGACCAGCTGTCTGCAATAAATCCTTCCATCTCCCCACCATCCAGTCAGAACTGAACAGCTTCTTGGATGAGAAGTGAAACATCTTCAAAGGAAAACCAGAAAGTCCAGTTGCCTCTTAGAAAAAAGCACCTGTGGCACAACCATTATCTGGATGACTGAGAATCTCCATAGACCACTAGCATCCTAATTCGTAAATGAAAACTATATATATGTAATCCTTGACTTACAACCATTCGTTTAGTAAAGATTCAAAGTTAGGGTTGGTTAGGGTGACAACACTGGAAGTGACTTGCGGCGTTTTTCACCATAACAACCACTGCAGCATCCCCATGGTCACGTGATCAAAATTCGAACACTTGGCAACTGGCATGTACTTACGACGGCTGCAGTAACCCAGGGTCACGTGATCCCCTTTTGTGACTTTCTGACTAGCAAAGTCAACGGGGAAGGCAGATTTGCTGAATGACCACATTACTAGCTTAACAATTGCAGCGATTCATTTAACAACCGTGAAAAGAAAGGTCATAAAATGGGGGAAAACTCAACTCAACAAATATGCTTTAGCAATGGATAATTGGGACTTTTTGAGGATACCTGTACTTGTGAGACCTTAGTTTGACTGACTATAACTTCCAGAGTCTTTGTTTTCAACCCTAGCTCTTAATAGGTTTAATTGAACTTCTGGGCATTTAGCCAAGAGCATTTCATACCTCGTAAGTGTTGCAAGCTAGATAAACAATCCACTCAGCACTTGTGAGGGAGAACCATTGAGAATATCAGATAATATAGCCACTAGAAACTCCCTGCCCTGCCTCTGAAGGGATTAATTCCCAAATAAGAATGGTGTAACTCATCAGAAACTCCACTAAGACTCCAAGATCCCCCTCACAGTCACTGCTATTAAGCCTGCTTTCACCCAACCTTTATTTAAGTATTAAATGCATGAAATAATAAACAACTTTTTGGTATATATCTTTTTTTAGATAATTAGGGCAAAAAAGCAATGTCAAGTTGGCCACACCCACCCAGTCACATGATCACCTAGCCATGCCCATCCAATCACATGATCACATAGCCATGACCACCCAGCCACATGACCACCCAGCCAGTCATTAGGACAGAGAGCCCCTTGCTAAAAAATTTGAAGCCTACCCCTGGTTGTAGGTCAATAGGCACCTAACAATAACTAATATAACTAACTTAATAATGAATTTAGATAACCAACAATCTAAATTGGTCTCTCCATGTCACCCTTAATAAGCATGCAAACCAGCATCTGCATTTCCCACATCAGATGAGGAAAGCACATATTTTTCCTTCTGTCCTGGCCACTTTTTACAGAGGCACGATTGAAAGGGTTTTAACCAATTGCATCACTGTTTGGTTTGGTGGCAGCAATGCCTCAGATAGAAAGTCCCTACAGAGAATGGTAAGGGCAGATGAGAAGATTATAAGAAGCTTGCTTCCCATTATACAAGATGCTGCTTATAAGCGCTATGTGCTTAAGAGCTTGAAATACTGTTAGAGACCCGCATACACCCACTCAACGGTCTGTTTGTTGCTCCCCTCTCAGAGGAGGTTTCAAAGTATTTCCAGCAGGAGTACCTGATTCTATTACAACTCTGTTCCCTATGCCATCCGTCTGATAAACTCGCAAGATTCATTCTTCTTGTCGTGTACATATATACATCCAAATTAGACCGTGTTGTTTCTCTGTATCATATATATGGATATGTGGATATATGCATGTGTGTGTGTGTGTCATGTTTATGTAGTGTATATTAGACCCTTTGAGAGCTGTATGCAACGAAATTTCATTTTAATGTATGCCAATTAGTGTACATTTAAAGTGACAATAAAGTTATTCTAAGTTCTAAGTATGTCTGTTGATAGAATTGCTTATTATTTTTTATTATTATTACCTTTATTGTCTGAGTACAACATGTGTGCAATGAGATTGCCTGTAGAGTGCCAGGCTTGCCACAGTTGTTAAGGGAATCACTGCAGTTGTTAAGCTAGTAACACGGTTGTTAAGTGGTTTCCCCATTAACTTTGCTTGTCAGAAGGTCGCAAAAGGGGATCACACAATTCTGGGACACTGCAATTGTTATAAATATGAGTCAGTTGCCAAGCGTCTGAATTTTGATCACATGAGCATGAAGATTCTACAATGGCCCTGAGGGTGAAATGCCATTGTAAGCCACTTTTTCCAGTGCTGTTGCATCTTCAAATGGTCACACAATGAATGATCAAGGATTGCCTGTAGTCAGCTCCCCATCTTTCTGTCAACAAGGGTTTCTGCTCCAGTGACTTTCCTAGACATTTACGGAGATCCTGGGAGTTATATTGTGTTTGATGTTGTCCTTTCCATATTTTTTTTATTATCTGCCTGCAATCCTGGGAATTGCTGATGGTGCTTCATCCAAATCCCAGGTTTTTAAGAAGAGGTTGGACAACCATTTGTCTGAAAAAGTATTGTGTTTCCTGCCTGTGCAGGGGGTTGGACTAGAAGACCTCTAAGGTCCCTTCCAACTCTGTTACTCTCTTAAATACTAAAGCTACTTAGCTTCCAAGTCCAAATCAGATCAGGAGGTGGTATCATGTCCTCATTGTGAGCAATCAGAACAAAGATCCACCCCTCCAAAATAAGAAAGTGGTTTTCCAATCAACAACTTAGCCACATTACACTTAGGAATCGCCAACTATGATCCTAAAGCTTTTCTTGATGGATCAATCATACATTAACCAACTTCATGTTGCCTTCTCTATTCCATTTCCTTACCGTGGCTCGATTGAGATGCAAATCTGGATTACAAGAAGCAGTGGAGTCCACCTTTTCCTGTTACAAATAAATAAACAAAGCACACACAATCAGCACTGCCAGGTAGATATAAAGAACAAATTCATTTGCAAGGAATATTCTTCCTCCCTCAAAACAAGAGGGGGTTCAACCTATTCTCCAAAGCACCTGACAGTAGGACAAGCAATGGATGGAAACTAATCCAGGTGAGAAGCAACCTAGAACTAAGGAGAAATTTCCTGACAGAAGAATTAATCTTGCCTTCAGAAGTTGTGGATGTTTCCAATACTGGAGGAAACTTTAAGAAAAGAACAATCATTTGTCTGAAATGGTATAGAGCTTGCTGCCTGAGCAGAGGGTTGGACTAGAAGATCTCCAAGGTCCCTTCCAACTCTCCATGTCTATTCTACTCTTCTCTACTCTTCTCTAGTCTATGTCTGTCTACTCTACTCTATATTCTACTCTACTCTACTCTATGTCTACTCTACTCTATGTCTACTCTACTCTACTCTATGTCTATTCTACTCTAGTCTATGTCTATGTCTGTCTATGTCTATGTCTACTCTACTCTATGTCTATTCTGCTCTATTCTAGGTCTAGGTCTATGTCTACTCTACTCCTATGTCTATTCTACTCTACTTGAGTCTATGTCTTTGTCTACTCTACTCTATGTCTATTCTATTCCTATTCCATTCACTCCGCTCCACTTGATGGTTGTAATATCCTGTGGTCGCCTGATTGTCATTTGTTGGAGAACCAGGACAACTATTTGTCAGAAATGGTATAGGATCTCCTGCTTAAGCAAGGGGTTAGACTAGAAGACTTCAAAGACCCGGTGTGCTCACCCACCATTTGGGCATAACTATTCCCCTTCCCTCCCTGCTGGTCTACAAAGACAGAAAGGTTGGGGGAATCGCTGATCTATAATTTTACTACAGAGGCTTAACTTGTACAACCATCCCTTCCTCCCTATACCACAACTTTGTCTCGGGTCCCCCGCCAGCACCTACTGCTTGAGCATAGGCACTCAGTGCTTGCTGGGAGATCTTGGGGTTCTGTCCTGTACTGAAGAACAAGGAGAGGTAGGCGTTGCCCAACACATCTGTGGAATGAAGAAAACAAAATTAGCCACTTGCATATCCTCTTCCCTTTTCTGCCCCTATCCCCTGTCTGGGCTATGTTGTGATTCGTTGACTACCGGTTCCACGGAGTCAGAGGAGATGGAGGGGGTGCCTGGTTTACCATCTGAGGAGCAGAAGGACTTAGGGCCAGATGCAAGGCAGGGCTCCTCTGCTCACTGTTTTTGGAGGGGGGGGGTGAGCTGAGTGAGGGGGAGGAACAGCTGGGGCCCGTTCCAGATGCGCTTATGCGCAAAGAAGTGAGGAGAGGACAGCAATGCAGGACTGAGGGTCAGCTATCCAGGAAATGAAGGAGACATGATGACAAGCCTCTCCCTGCCTGGGATACAAGGAGGAGTGTGGGAGACACAACAACCGTTCATGCTCCAGAAGAGATGGCTTCGGTGGATTCCTTGGCCAGGATTTCTTTCTACTATCCAGGTTGGCCCAGGTTGTGGGGATTGAAATGCTAATTGAAGCTCCCTGCAGGGACTGCTACAGCTTGCGAAACACCTAAAGGTGTGTGTGACCTGGGGCATTGTCAGTGAATGCCGTGCATTCCTGCCTTTCTAAAATAAAAAGGAGTTTCCCCCCTCACAAGCGGCACTCGCGAAGTCTGGGTCAGGACAGGCTAATAGATTGCATAGTAAAACTCACACCAAGAGCGTCCATCGCGCACATCCATCTGCACCGCCAGTTTGGCTTGCCGCACGCTGTCCATCACATTTTGTGCATGTTCATCGGGAGAAGTGGTGTGCAGCTGCCGTAACACCATGGAGAGGTTCTGCAAGGAGACTTTGTTCTTACACTGAAAGGAAAAATAAGTGTGGCTGCAGAATGAGATTCCTGTATAAAGCAAAGACTTTTAATAAGCTCCAAATGCAGGCAGTGCTTTATTTACCATTCATTTAGCAATTGTTCGAAATTACAGAACATTGGGGGGGAAATGGCCAGTCCTCGCATTTACAACTACTGCACTGCTACATGATCAAAATTCAAACACCTGGCAAACTGGTATGTAATTACAATACAGGTAGTCCCTCGACTTACCACCAACTTTCCATTGCAAAGGGAAACATTTGCTAAAGCATGGCAATTGTTAAATTAGTTTTTGCCTCCATTTGCGACCTTTCTTGCCACAGTTGTTAAGTGAATTGCTACAGCTGTTCAGTTAGTCACACAGTTGTTAAGTGAATCTGGATTCCCCCATGGACTTTGCTTGTCAGAAGTTCGCAAAAGTTGATCCTGTGACCCCAGGACATTCCAACCATCACAAATATGAACCAGTAGCCAAGCATTTGAATTCTGATCACTTGACCAAGGAGATGCTGTAAGGGTCGTAAGTGTGGGAATTGGTCATAAGTCACTTTTTTCCAATGTCCTTGTAATTTTGAACTAAATGAACTGTTGTGAGTGGTGTGGTGGCCTAGAGGTAGAACTTTCGCCTCACAATCAGAAGGTTGTGAGTTTGATTCTAGATAGAGGCTGATATTTCTCTCTCTGGGCACAAAGAGACTGCTGCAAACTCCATATTGGCAACAGGGAAGGCATCTGGCCAGTAAACACTCAGCTCCATTCAATTGCCCCAACTCCACTCCGCCAGGGATTATGGGGTCATTAAATGACTAAATGAACTTTGTAAGCTAAGGACTACCTATAGTTGTAGCAGCCTGGGGTCATGTGGTTGCCATATGTGATATTCCCAACTGGCTTCCAACAAGCAAGTTAATGGGGGAAAGGTGAATTGTCACATGATTCACCTAACATGATTCACTTAATGCTTCAGTGATTTGCTTAACAACCAGGGCAAGAAAAGTCATAAAATCTGGTGCGACTCATTTAACAACCACCATGCTTACCAATGGAAATTCTGGTTTCGATTCTGGTCTGAAATCAGGAACTACTATCCATGTTTACCTAAATTATTGTTTGCAGCATACAGAAAGTCTTAGACGCGCAACCACCTCTTTGAAGTTACGACAGGACTGAAAAAAGTGACTTATACTAATAACCATTGCAATATCCCCATCGTCACATGATCAAAACTCGGATGCTTGGCAACTGGTTCCTATTTATGAGGGTTGCAATGTCCCAGGGGTCACATGATCCCCTTTTGCGACCCTCTGACCAGCAAAGTCAACGGGGAAGCTGGATTTGCTTAACAACTGTGCTATTAATTTAACAACAGCAGTGATTCACTTAGCAACTGTTGCAAACAAGGTGTTAAAAACAGGGCAAAACTCACTTAATCGTTGTCTTGCTTAGCGAAAGGAGTTTGGGGATTCATCACAATCATAAGCCAAGGACTTCCTGTATTTTTTTGGTCTCTGAGAAGTATTTTACTTAATCTACAAAATGCCATTGGAAAAGCCAGAGGTTTCCAAACAATCCTTCACACAAAAGAACGCTTTGATAGCAGAGAACTGAAAGGGAAGCTTACATGGCCAAGCGCTCCAGAGAAGCAGGTATGAGCTGCCGAGACATCACCCTTTTTCCAGTAAACCTCGCCTAATTGATTCCACGCTTCCACCAATTCCGGATCCAGCTTGACCGCTTTGGAGAGCAATTTTTCAGACTGGGCGTTATAGTATGCTGATACATTCAAAGCTTTTCCTTTAAGCATCAATGTGTAAGCTTGCCCTTCTGAGAGGCCTAGGAGAAGTGGAGGGGATAAAAGTAAGAGATTCCATCTATATGTTATTGTCCAAAAAAAGAAACAAAAACAAAAATAAAAAAGTCCACCTAATATTGAGCTGTAAGTACCATACATTTCTTTTTGGCAGGTCTTTTTTCTCTGATCAACTACACATTAACAGAATAACAGAGTTGGAAGGGACCTGGTAGGCCATCTAGTCCACCCCCCCCCCCCCGCCCCAGCAGAAAACTCTACACCATTTCTGGCACATGGCAGTCCAGTCTCTTTTTGAAAGCTTCCAGTGATGAAACTCCCACAACTTCCGAAGGCAAGCTGTTCCATTGGTTGATTGTTCTGTCAGAAAATTTCTCCTTATTTCTAGGTTGAATCTCTCCTTGATCAGTTTCCATCCACTATTACAGATGTTTCTCACTGATATAATTCAATATAAGAACCATACAACTAGTAAATGATATACACAATATACTTCAGATAACTATGTTGATCTGAATTCCAGATATAAACTTTCATAGTTTTTATTCTATCAACCGATAGGCCGATACAGGTAGTCCTCATTTAACAACACACAATCGGGACTGCAATTCTGTCATACAGTGAAACATCTGTTAAGGAAAATGACATTCAACTGCACCAGAGTTATATCCGTTCCACTATGATTATTACATTGTATGAATCACATGCTGTGACATGACGTGACCACGAATTGCAATTTCCTGAAGGATTTCCCATTGCTGATGCTTGAGGGAAGCTGCCGATGAAAGTCTGAATACTTCTGCCAATGATATTTCCATTTTTTTCTTTTTAATAAATTTACAGATCTTTCTAAAATTCTGTTTTCACTTTTTCTTTCAAGGTACTAATAAGAAAAAAATGAATTTCAACAACTGTCTAATCAGTCTTCAGCATAAAGAAAGTGAGGAGGTCTGAATACTTTCTAAATGCAGTGTGTGTGTGTGTGTTTCTTTGTTTGTTTCTTTGTTTGTTGACTGTTTCCCAGAAGCATCTGATGGCTCATTATGGGAAATAGGATCTAGACTAGCTACATACAATGTATGTGGGGCTGCCCTTGAAAACCACTCAGAAGTTACAACTGACCCAGAACGAAGCTGCACACAGTGTTGGAATTGGCCCACATTACAACCCTGTTTTGTGAGTTGCACTGGCTTCCAGGTGCCTTTCAGGTACAATTCAAAGTGCTTTAAAGCGCTACATGACATGGGACCAGGCTATTTTGTGAGTCAGCCTTTCCCCGAAGGTATTTACCTCGCTCACTAGATTGGATAGGATAAGCAAGTTTCAGGCCTCATTTTGCCATCAAGGGAACCTGGGAAGCTTGCCATTTTTATGGCTGTCTCCATGGAATATCCTGCCTCCTACAATCGGACAGGCCCCCACTTTCTTAACCTTCCAGAAGGCCATTAAAACTTGGATTTTTACCCAGGGACTAGGATAGAGGGGTGAATTGTTGGGGCACCCTGGAAGATTGATTGAAGCACCAGGTTTTAGCAATAGCACTTAGATTTATATACCACTTCATAGTGCTTTACAGCCCTCTCTAAGTAGTTTTACAGTCAGCATACTACCCCCAACAATCTGGGTCCTCATTTTACCAACCTCGGAAGGATGGAAGGCTGAGTCAACCTTAAACTGGGCAGGATCAAACTCCTGGCAGTGGACAGAGTTAGCGATAGCATTTAGACTTATATATCACTTCACAGTGCTTTACAGCCCTCTCTAAATAGTTTTACAGAGTCAACATACTGCCCCCAACAATCTGGGTCCTCATTTTACCAACTTCAGGATGGAAGACTGAGTAAACCTTGAGCCGCTCAGAATCGAACTCCTGGAGTGAGCAGTGAGTTAGTCCTGCAGTACTTCATTCTGACCACTGCGCCACCATGGCTCTTAGTTTATTTTTTTCTTCTATGGTTGTTATGCTTTTTGTCATTTTACTGTCATTGTAAGAGCCCAGAATTCTTTTAAGATGGGTGACCACACACATTTTTTAAATGTACATTTAAAATAAACAAACAACAAAGACTTTTGGTAGCCAGGTAATGAAGAATACAATATCAAAAATGAAATGAACAAAATTTTGGTATCTGGGATTGGATGTTTGGGGGGAAAGGATTATACTATCATTATTTGTCAGATCTACATGTGTCAAGTGTAAAGAATTGGGACCATTCATGTAGGCAGGTGCATAAATGATTTATTGAAGCTTATACACAAGGATCTGGTCAACTAACAGTTAGCACCAAATTGGCACTAGATAAGAGTTAGTAGAATTCAAGCAAGGCTGGACTTGGATCTCTTGAGACAATGCAAAGATTCTAAACTGATGGTGCATTTAACTCCTGCTCCAGCTCTGCCTGCTCTGTTCTTACAACTTCCTACCTTCTATCAAGGTACTAGACTCAAACATTTTCAATTCTATGAATGCATCCATAATAAGTACTGGGACAGATCAGTATGGGGAGACATGATAGCAGAATATCTGAGGGGTTGCCACAGAGAGGAAAGGGTCAAGCTATTTTCTAAAGCGCCTTAGGCCAGACAAGGAATAATGGATGGAAACTAAACAAGGAGAGATTTAACCTGGAAATAAGGAGAAACTTTCTGACAGTGAGAACAATCAACCAATGGAACACCTTGCCTTCGGAAGTTGTGGGAGTGCCATCACTTGAGACTTTCAAGAAGAGATTGGACTGCCATCTGTCAGAAATGGTGTAGGGTCTCCCCCTTGGGCGGGGAGTTGGACTAGATGACCTACAAGGTCCCTTCCAATTCTGATTATCTGTTATCTGTATGCATGAATGATCCATTGTCAAGACTACAAGCTTGTTTTGATTGCTAAAAGGCTAAGAGAAGTCATACATGGACATTATGAGTAGTATATTTGAGGGATCTAGTAATGAAACAAAACAGATGCCTTAAGATGAAGATACGGAAATGCAAGTTATGTGTGAATTACCATCTATGGCTTCCATTTTTTGAAGAGTCTTCTCCATCTCTTCCTGAACATCCTGTTGTTTTTTCCCAGCATCTTCCACACTGTGATTCTCAAAATAATGATCTCGGAAATGATACAGGTGGTCAACCAATTCCTATTCATAAATGGATAAATACTATCAGATCTCCCAATAGGGATGTCTTGCTGGTACAAAATTCACTGACGTTTGTGATGCGATCGCCAAACTGGCAAACCCAGGTTGCACACCATAAACTAAGCATTTATCAGTCTCTAAGCTAAAATGTAATTGCCCAATTTGAAATTTATTGCATCCATTCTGTGCAAACCTGGCAGCACCACCAATAACATGCCTATCGCTATGTTGACTTAGTAACAGATAAATAAACATGAAAATTCAAAATACAATCAGGTAAATCAGTCCTCCATTTATCGTACATCGCTCAGTCGAGCACAACTTTTTATGGGAAAGGAGAAAAGTTAATTCAAACTATACAGCACAGAACCACTATTTTTAGGTTACAAAACCAACCAGCATTTAACTCCTCATGGAATAGGCCACAGATTAACCCAGAAATCTTTGATCCCAAAGATCGCCAGGTCTGAAAGGATGGCTTACACCGGACACAACAATTAAGAGCAGATTTCTCTGATAATTCTGACATCTTGGGAATCAAAACCTAGAAAGGGGCAGCCTTACCTCCAACAAAGCAGGAGGGCAAACACACCTTGCCAATCCCTTTCTACATCTATTTCAGCTTTTAAATCACCACCCGCCCGCTCTGCCTACTTCATCCACACTGCCTACATTTACTAAACCAGATAAAAGGATAAATGGCGCCAACTGCCCTGCTTTTTGCTCGTCCGAGACTTCTTAAAACGCCGCTTAGCTTTGCGGGTCCTGCGAGCCTTCGGTTACTTTTACCTGCCTGCATAAATCCGGGAAAGCTCTGGAGCTTTGCTCCGTCCCTTCCCCAGAACAGAGACGCGGGAATTTTCTTACTATTATTAGGATTATTTTAATCGTGGCTTTTAAAATGCAGAAGGGAAGAATAGCTTCTTTTGCTCGTCGTTATACCTGCAGACGTTGCCGGGCTTGCGAGTTCTCTTCTTCATCCTCGGCCATGTTCGCTGCGGCCTCCGCCCTCCCTTTCCTGCTTTTCTTCCTCTTTCTCAGGCTTGCAAGCACGGAGGGAGGTAGAGGCCTCTAAAGGCTCGGAGGAATCTAAGCAGTTCAGACGGAGCGGGGAGGAAGAGGCCTTCGCCCTGTCGCTTACGGTCCCCCACACCTATTTTAATAAGAATAACAGTTGGAAGGGACCTTGGAGGTCTTCTAGTCGAACCCCGTCCTCGGCTAGTTGTAACAGCACTGAAAATAAAAGTGATTTATAATTGGTCCTCATACTTAATCAGCGTCAAAGTATCTCCACGATTATTTGATCAAAATTTGATCAACCGGTGTATATTTACAATGGTTGCAACATCCCAGGGTCATCTGGTCGCCTTTTGCAACCTTCCCAGCTGGCTTCTGGCGAGCAAACTCAATGGAGAAAGATGGATTTGCTTAATGAGGGCATTGATTCACTTAGCAATCATGGCAAAATCCTTGGCCTAGTTTTTCCAATAGAATGGGATGGGATGGAATAGAAAAATAGAAAAACAGAATAGAATAGAATAGAAAATAGGAAAATAGAATAGAGAATAGAAAATAGACTAGAGAATAAAATAGAATAGAGAATAGACTAGAAAATAGAACAGAGTGGAATAGAAATTGGACAGAACAGAACAAAACAGAATAGAATGCAGAGTTGGGAGAGACCTTAGATGTCTTCTAGCCCAACCCTCTGTTTAGACAGGAGGACATACACCTTTTCAGACAAATGGTTGTCCAATCTCTTCTTTAAAACCTCCAATGTTAGAGCACTCACAAACTTCTGGAGGGTATTCTAAGCAAGGATTCTGCTTAGATCAGTGTCTCTCAGCCTCAGCAGTTTGAGTGGACTTCAACTCCAAAAATTCTTTTTTTAAAAGAAGTCCATCCCTGGGGGTTTTAAAAAGAGATTGGACAGCGATTTGTCTGAAATAGTAGATGCTTCTGCTTGAGCAAGCAGTTATTTAATAACCCCTTCAATTAATAAAGTTGGAATTAATAGTTGGAATACAAATAAATACATTAATAAAACTGGAGTAGAAATAAATACATGTGTTCACCACTTGGAGTTGTTTGTAAAATAATAAAGGCAGGATACAAATATATAAATAAATTTCCTAAATGTCCATGTTTCTATATCAGCCCATTCTTGTAAGATTTCATTTTAAGCAGTAAATGCTTTTAGGTCCATTTTGCCCATCTTAACTTTCCTTTGATCGGGTGATTCTGGAAGTGTAAGGACAAAGTAATGTAATGAGTTACAGTGAGATCAAGATTTGCATTTACCATAAACCCATTAAAATAAATGGATTTAATAATCATTACTAGTTTAATGCCCATTTGAGATATTCTACATGTTATAATTCAACATAGAGAAAATCATGGACGATTATAATCCAATCCTATCAAACAGATAAAGTGCTTAAAGCAACGCAGCCTTCATAATTTAGGTCCATTTAAAGAAACTAATAAAAGGATTCTCCCTTGACATCCAAGGGGTAAAGGAGGAGGGGGGACTATTTTTAATGATCAGAAGCGCTTTATGCTTACTCACAAAACACAAAAAGGATATTCACAGATGTTTATACCAATGGAAATGTACACACACAGGTAGTAACTTATCCCTCCATATATTTTTATTTACAAGTAGCAATGAACAAAAGAAACAAATCCTTGCAAATATGTTTACACACCCATAGAAGAAAATATGCTACTTTAAGATATGAGAGTTGAAAACAGTCATCAATGGATTAAAACATTATAAAACATTTGTTAAAATAAACAATTTGAGCACTAAAACTGAATCATAATGCATAATAATTAAATCACTGAGAATGTGTCGGAACTATTGCGTTTACAAGGAGGTTGCTATGTGATACAACGACAAGATTTATAGTGTAACAACTCATGCACATGTAATCTATAGTAACCCAGTACACTATCTAAATGTTCAAAAAAATATTGGCTTTCCAAGGTGTCCCTCTCTTGCTTTAACATATGACATGACTTGGAAAATATTTGACATTCACTGATGTAATGAAAATTTGGTTTCTAGCATTGAGATTTTGTTTGGCTTGAAACCTCAGGCCCATAAATACGGTTCTGATATTCTGATTTTCAGAAAGTTCTGCAATTAAATTGAAATGCACATTTGGGTTTACATTCTCTTAATTTTATACGCTCTGCTGCCTCCTGTGTAGTGTTCCAAATTGTCAGGAGAGGCAAAGGAAAAGAAGCCACTGGCAGACTCGCCAATGGGTGAAGAAGAGACAAAGAAGGGTTTGAAATGGAAGTCCCCTTCACCATGCTGGCCCTGGATAGGTGTAGTGTTCTCAGTGAGCCTGGCAGCGTTACCTACAACATGTGAGTGAAAGACATGATATTAGAGTAGAGCTTAAATTTCCTCCCCTGGGAAAAAATGGCATTATTAACCACATACATACCCATAATAAGGGCCAGATTACTCTCAAGTGGGAGATCCTTAATCGGAATCTCTCTTTATTTTTAAAGTAAACCATATTACAGCTACAGACGGTGGGAATCAGAAGATGCTAGGAAGAAGTTGCTAAAAAAAATATTTCTCAGTTTTCCAATTTAAAAAACTCCCAAAGCTATTTGCTCCAGACAAGACATGCAAATATCAATTGGCACCGTGTTTATTCTGAAAACACTTAATATCCAGATGGTTTTAAAATAGCTTAGATTCAGAATAATATCTAAAAGTTAATAGGATTAATTTTTACATTTCAGGTTACAATTCCCATACCCCAAGACAACACAACACACTGCTTTTCTTTAAGTTGTGCACTGCAGTCTATTGATGGATGCTATTTTTAGTATGATGCAGTGTATGCACATAATCAGAAAAAAAACATAATCAGAAAAGGCAAATGTAATTTTCCTTATGGTGGTGCATTGACACAATGTAAATAGAGAACAGTTAGTGAAATGTGATAATTAAAAGTTCTAGTTAACCACAATGTTGAGATAATACATCTTTAAATTGTTAGGAAAGCCAGATGTTTGGTAAGTTATTAATAGGAGCACAACATAGCATATAATACTTGCCACATACTTGTCTAATGTCTAGCACCCTTATCAGTTCTGAGTCATTTTAATAATGTTCTGTGTGCATGGATGACACCCAAGCATTAATCACCCTGTCATTGAAGTGCTTGTGAAGGATCATACTAAAAGTCACCATTCTTACCCAGAGGGAAACCAAAGACAGCAGGTTGAGGCATCATGGGAGGCTCTTGGCTTGCCTCCTGATTGGCTACAGCAATATTCCGTAATCTCAGGCTGTCATACAAGCCCTGCAGTTTTTGGTACTGACGATTACGCTCCATGAGTTTCTCTGAGAGCTCGGTGAATTTCTTTTTATATTCCTCCAATACTTTCTTTAAGGAAGAGATTTCACTCTTCATTGATATTAGCTCCATATCTTTGCTCTGGAGTTGCTGGGTATAGACTTTCTCCATCTGCTTCAGATGGCCCTCTGCTTTGCTGTAAGTATATTCTTGATACAAACGCTCTTGATGGACCTACATGGGTATAAAGAATAAGTGCAGGTAGTCCTCTACCTACAATCACAATTGAGCCCAAAATTTAGGCTGTTAAGTGAGACATTGATTAAGCAAGTTTTGCCCCATTTTATGACCTTTCTTGCCACAGTTGTTAAGTGAGTTTGGCTTCCCTGTTGATTTTGTTTGTCAGAAAATTGCAAAAGGGGATCACATGACCTTGGGACACAGCAATAGTCATAAATATGAACCAATTGCCAAGTGTCTGAATTTTGATCACATGATTAAGGGGATGCTGCAAAAGTTGTAACTGTGAAAAATGGTCATAAGTCACTTTTTCTGTGCCGTGTAACTTTTGAACGGTCACTAATGAACTGTTGTAAATTGAAGACTACCTGTAGAAAGGAGTAAGATTTGGGAAGATTTGGATGAAATTATTTTTGTCGTTCAATTCAGCATTCTGTGTGTCTATGGAGATTCTTAATCCTAAATCGATCGATCTATCTATCTATCTATCTATCTATCTATCTATCTATCTATCTATCTATTTATCTATTCCATTTCCATAACCTCCTATCTCAATCAATGATTCTGGGCAGTTTACAATTAAAAACAAAAGTCTGTGTATGTGTCTGTGTTTGTGTATTACAATTATAAATACTGAACATTTTTAAAAACAATAAAAATTATAAAAACATTCAGACTAAATATATCTAGGGGCAAAATACCCAGGTAGTTTTTAAGTAAAGAATTATTTCTAACTCAAACTGTTGTTACTGGATATAATTTACCTGATAAGTCCAGAAAGCCAAAGCCCTGGAGCTGATATCTAGAATAATTTCTGGGCGCAACCCAGCTAATACCATGGCTTTATATTCCTCTGAAGGACTGAGCTCTGTTCGAACAATATCCAATTTGCCAGAGAGGGCACTGGTGCAAGCTGGACAGACTGCTGGTGATCGGCTGAACTCTCCACTGCCATGTTGGTCACAGAAGATATGTGAGCAGGCTGTGACCCACGCATAGCCTGAAAGCTTGACACGACATTTGCGATAATTGCAAAGAAGCATATCCTCACAGACAGACATATTGCTGCAGCCAAGGCAAATGTATTAAAAAGGATTCTGTGGAACAGTTACATAGTAGTCACTATACAGTATCGCATTGATAGGAAAAAATACAGTATATTACTGTCAATGTTTTTAGACTTCTTATACGGTTTAGCCTCAGCACAGACGTAAATTTAGGAAAAAAATATGGTCAGTTGATCAGAGACTCAGAACTGGCATTTAGAAGGGTTTAAAACCATTTCCCCCCTTCAAACACAAACACATTTGCTATTACAGTACAAGAACTACATTGCCCAGCATCCCTTATGGTAATATAATAAATCTAATAAACACATTTGCAACATCTAAACAATCAAAGAAATATAAATTGATATGGTAAATCAAATAAAATAAATGAAGCAAAACAACCTGCCTCAAAC